TGTTTGGTAGTTGGTAGCCATCCATTGGTAAGTTTGGTAGCCAACAAATGAATAGTTGAAGCTTGCATTCACACTCTTGCATCTTTGGCTATAAATTGGAAGCAAATGGTTCCATTTGAAGCATCCCACCAAGTGTTGAGTAGAAGAGGAAAATAGCAAAGAAGGCATCTTGCCAAAGAGAGAAACATTTCTCTCTAGTTGTTCTTTGCTTTGTATTATTGTTTTCTCTTCAATTGTTGTGAGAGTGAGACTTGGGTGTATTTGGGGCTTTGGGTTTTCTTGAGTGATAAACACTTTGTATACTCTCTTTGATTATAGTGAATTACTCCGTCGTCTCCAAACTGGATGTAGGCATTGCCGAACCAGTATAAATCTTGGTGTTCTTGTTGGTGTTGTTTTGTGTTCCATTTATCTCCTGCTAGTTGTTTATTTTTCACTCACAATTGGTTGACGCTTCCGCACAACAGTCACCCCAGCAAGATCTTCAAGAACACTGCACTTGTAAAAGATATGTTTACGTCAGATCTTGAAATAGCTCGATTTGAAGGAGCTGCTGTTCGAACTGTCAGTGGCATTCGGGGGCAGGTGAAAAAGGTATGCTTGTTTGATGTTTACATTATATATTGTTTGTGTGTGTGTGTGTGCAGTTTTTATTTGTCCATGTGGATTTTGCCAGTTTAATATTCATTCTGGCAATTAGACTCTTCCATACCATATATGAAAGGATGAATAGAGCCATTGTCTAATTGGAATGATTTTCATTTCATCTTTACTCTTGAGCTGGTGTTGTTACTGCATAGTGCATATATATACGTAACAGAAACATATGCGTATTAGCATCCTTCATTGTAATTAAAGTTCTGAGCGTGGATAGGCATATTTCCTCATATGACCCATGATGCTAATTTAATTTACTTTGAATAATTTTAATCTCGACAGGCTGCAAAGGAAGAAATTGGTAACCAACCGAAAAAGATGGGTGGACAACCAAAAGAAGGGATAGCTAGATGCACCTTTGAGGATAAAATTAAGATGAGTGACATTGTTTTTTTGCGTGCTTGGACCCAAGTTGAAGTTCCTCAGTTTTACAACCCATTGATGACATCACTGCAACCTCGTGATAAGACCTGGCAAGGGATGAAAACTACTGCTGAATTGAGGAGAGAACATAATATTCCTATTCCTGTTAACAAAGATTCACTTTACAAGGTAATCTATGATATGAGGGACTCACAGTGAGGCTGCTTATTGCAGTGGTACATGGTTTCTCTCAATTCTGCCCCGGCAGTACTGCTTGTTTTCTTTCTTCAGTTTTTTTGTGTTATCCAACGGTACTTAATTTCATGTTCTTGTGTCAACAGCCCATTGAAAGGAAGCTGAAGAAGTTCAACCCATTGGTGATTCCTAAGTCATTGCAGGCAGCTTTACCATTTGCATCAAAGCCTAAGGATATACCCAGTAGAGGAAGGCCACTTCTTAAAAATAGAAGAGCTGTTGTCA